TGGTTTCCAGTCTCAGCTAAGCCCAGAGCATTGTCTCTCAAACATCTACTTTTCTGTGATCTGCTCTTTTCCATTCCTCTCAATATCAATACTAAATCATCATAATTTTCTTTAAAACTTCTTTTCAGTCACTATTCTTCTTGATCTCAAAGATTGTCTGAAGTCATTTCATAGTAATCTCTCCCAACTGATGCATAATAGGAGCTAAATAAATCTTTGTTGACTAAATGAATGTCCTGTTTTCTTACCCATATAACTATATATTTTCCATGTTCATTTTTAGGACCTACCTCCAATTTTAGGAAATAAGGATTACTCCTCCTGCTCAAGACCATAATCTCCACCTGAGCTGACTACTTCCCCTCCCATCTCCTGTAAAATTCTGCATCATCTGTCATCCTTCCACATTTTCAATCTATTCCCTATTGGTTTCTTTCCAACATCCTGTAAATACATCCGAGTCTTTAAAAAACTAACACCACATTAGTTATTACATATATGCGGCACATATATGCCATGGAATACTATGCAGCCATAAAAAAGGATGAGTTCATGTCTTTTGCAGGAACATGGATGAAGCGGGAAACCATAATTTCCAGCAAACTAACACAACAGGAAATCAAACACTGCATGTTCCTACTCATAAGTGGGAGTTGAACAATGAGAACACGTGGACACAGAGAGGGGAACATCACACACCAGAGCCTGTCTGGGGGTGGGGGCTAGGGGAGGGATAGCATTAGAAGAAATACCTAATGTAGATGACGGGATGATGGATGCAGCATACCACCATGGCGCATGTATACCTATGTAACAAACCTGAACATTCTGCACATGTACCCCAGAACTTAAAGTATCATTAAAAAAAATGTTTCTAAGAGCCTACATTCTCTTTAGCTTTTATCTAACTGCTCTTCTCACATTGCATCTAAATCTCTAGAAAGAATGGTCTACACTCATTATTACCAATTTCTCTCTTCCCATTCCATCACAACCACTGCAAGCTAGCTTTTGTTCCCATAATTCTACTAAAAAATGTTCTCTTATTGAGCTTCTCTATTGTATTTGACACTGTTGGTCATCTGTCTTTTTCAAAATAATCCTCTTCCCTGGCTTCCATGATATACTTGGTTCTATTTATGCAGTTTGAGGCTTTTCCTCAATCTTTATAATTTCCTCTTTATCTGTCTATATTTGAAACACAGATGTTTCTCTAGCAATATCTCCAGCACAAAACTCTCCTGGGAGGTTAATATGTCCAGGTCCAGCTTTGTGATGGAAAACAGAATCCAAAAACCAACATGTTAATCTAAAACAAAACTCATTATTTTCCTTCCTTCAAACCTCCTCAGCCTTAACAACAACCAATGGTTTCTCAATGCACTTTAAATAAATCAGAAATGTTTTCACCTGACCCTCAAAGCGTCATGGGATGTAGTCCCTATCCAACCTCTAAACCTCACCTGGAACCACACTTCCATTTTACCCTAAGCCATGCTGACTTCATTTCAGCCTTTGAGGAGTCCATGCTCTTATTACTTCACATGTTATTCCCACTGCACAAATGTTATTTTTTCCTGTTCTTGGCCTGGATTCCTAAGCCTCTGCTTAAATGTCATTTCCTCAGATATATCTTCCTTAGTGACTCAATTATTTTTCTCCTGACATCATATTGTTCCTTTCCGTCAAAGCCCTTAGAATGTTTTATATTTATATATTCATATATTTATTATGGTGTTTATTAAAATTCCTGTATCCTTCCCTGGATTCTAAACCCGAAAAGGGAAAAGATCATGCCCCTTTCCTTTAACAATCTAAACCCAATGCTTGGGACAGAGCCCAGTATTTAGTAAATAATAAATATATTTTACATGATTGAATTGTTTCACTCTTAACTAGAAAATTGTTTCACTCTAACCTGGGTGTTACCTTGACTTGACTTTTTTTTTTCTTTACCTTGACTCTTCTGTTCCTTATAGTCTCTATGTCTCAATACTAAATTTTGCAGGTTTTACTCCAATTTCATAACAATTTGTTCTTCCTTCTCCATGCTCACTACCATTGCCTTGGTCCAAGTTTTCTTTACCTCTTGCTTGAACTACTGCAATGGCCTTCCAACTAGTCACCTTGAATTCTGTTTATCCCCTCACATCCACCCTCTACACTGCCACTAGAATAACCTAAAATGTAAGTTTAACCACTCACCTATGGAAAACCTGTAAAGATTTCTCATTGCACACAGCATCAATTCTTTACCTTAGTCCACAAGGCTCGCAGATAATTTGGTCCCTGCTTACTGTACCATTTATTACCACTTGGCTTTGTCCTCTAAGCTTCAAAAACAGCAAACTGCTTGTATTTCCCATCTCTTGTTCTATATGCTGCCTCTTTGCATATACGTTGTAACTTTTCCTTGAAGAAATATCCACCCTATCAATGGCCTAACTATCCTTTGTTGTCTCTCCTGTTTAATCTACCTAAATTCATACTCAGTCATCTTTGGATCAAATACCATCTCTTCCAGGGAACCATCTCACCCTCCAGAATGGGTTATATGCCACTCTTTGTAACTCAAAAATTGTACCACGTACATCTTCATTATTTTACTTTACTCAACTGTATTAAATTATCTGCCTTCCTCTTAGGTGGTGAGCTCCTAGGAGGACATAGTATTAATAGATGCTTCATGAACATCTGCTCAGTTAATTACAAGAATGAAAGTATAACATTCAAAATGTATCAGTGCAATTTGCTTGTGATGGTAATAATGTCCAAACTCCAGAATTTACATGGAGCCAGAATAATCTTAAATATATTTCAGTTACTGATTTGTAAGTCTCACCACACTGTGTGAGGTCTTCTTTGCTCAGGAAGGTAGAGTTCTGACAACAACCCTTAAATACAAAGAACTCAGCACCTTCATTCTTCACTGTGTAAGTGCCCTCCTGGTGAGTTTTCATTTAACAAGCTTTGCAAATAAACATTTTCATTATGTCAGAGCTCGCTTGAAGTCCTCCTCAAGGTCAATAAAGTTTTCCCTATTATGCTTTTCATTCTTGGCTTTAATATGCTGTCAATCTTCCTTTGATATGCATACATATCCTATGTTATTTGATAAAAGTACAGTGCTTTATTTTAGAAACACTAATATTTTTAAAAAATAGCTTCTGAAAACTTTTTGATTATAATCAACAGTTCATACTATTTGCCCAATATCTAAACAATGAACAAAATGTTGACCTTTTAGTTACAATCACATTTCACTTGCTTTAGGAATTTTTATTTTGTTTAAATGATAGTTAAGATTATTGAAAGTGTATAATTACGATTATAGATTATCCAGTAGAAATTCATGTTTAGATGCTGTATATGTACATATATATTTATATGTATACAGTTCTCTGTGTGTACATATGTAATTGTATATGTGTTTATAGCTATATAAGCAATTAGAGATATGTGTGTAAACATGGGTTAGTATACATATATATATTACTTTGCTGTCTCTAATGAGAGGGCCTAGAGGGAATCACATCCTAATGGTGATAAGGACACCCAGGACCCAGATCTTGGCTTTTAAATACCACTTTCCAATAAAAGGAAACAGGATCTCCTTAGAGAAATGGCTGATACTAGTATTAGGGCAGGGAAAATACAATTTATGTACTGTGGAAAAATACAGATGAGTCAAAGAGAAATAAAATACCCATATGTAACATTCTTACTTCTTTAGTGTTTATTTTTTCTTTTTATATATGTGACGTGTAATGTGTAACATGTATATGTATTTTATACAGAAATGGTATAATTTTTTAAATATAATTTCTTATTCTTTTAAATAGCTGAATGTCTATGAATATACAACTTGTTGGATCATAACAATACTGGATGAACATCTTTATAAATGAATTTGAATGCCCTTTTTTTTGAGGCAGAGTCTTGCTGTGTCACCAGACTGGAGTGCAGTGGCACGATCTTGGCTCACTGCAACCTCCTCCTCCTGGGTTCAAGCGATTCTCCTGCGTCAGCCTCCTGAGTAGCTGGGACTACAGGCGCGCGCCACCACGCCCAGCTAATTTTTGTATTTTTTAGTAAAGACAGGGTTTCAACATGGTCTCGATCTCTTGACCTTGTGATCCACCCACCTCGGCCTGGACGCACTTTCTTAATTAATATAAGACTCTTATTTTGCAAAGTATTATTCAACTAGTTATAAGTTCCTTTCTCTTTGTGCTTAGAGATTCAATCTGTTAAACTCTAATTGCAAAAAGTATCTTGTTTTGACAGTTGATTAAGGTTTTGGTTTAAAACTTTCATTAGGAGTTAAATAATTACTAGTCCATATATGGGAAGAAATTCATCTCTTTTATGTCCAAATATCAGCATTCCTATGATAGCATATAAGCCAATCCCCTTAGTTTCTGGATTAGGAAATTGAGGCCAAGAATAGTTAAATTACTTTCTCCAGATCAAATATATAATTATCATCAACTTTACAGTCAAAGGTCTAGATTTCCTAATTCCAAATTCAGTGCTCTTTCCATATGCAAAAAGGCTCTCAAGAGATAGGTGCAAGGCTCTCACCTGAACTGCTTTAGGTAATTCCTGTTAATTTAACCCACACTCAGATAATGTACTTCTAGATGTATATTCACTAGACCCATATTAACTGATCTGTATGTAGCTGGTAGGATTGTTTTTAACACTGTAAGAAGAAGCATATTAGCTAATTAGAATAGAAAAGGAATTACTAAATAGCCAAAAAGCTGTTAGCTGCTTTTAAAGGGGAAGCTGATCTTTTTCAAAATTATAAATTATTTTCTGTGTTTATAATCTCAGACCATCAACCTTACCCAGGTGGAAGAACAGTAATTAAATTCATTATTAGCTAATTAGAATAGAAAAGGAGTTACTAAATAGCTGCTTTTAAAGGGGAAGCTGATCTTTTTCAAAATTATAAATTATTTTCTGTGTTTATAATCTCAGACCATCAACCTTACCCAGGTGGAAGAACAGTAATTAAATTAAAGGCAATGGTGAAAATTCTAAGGAACTTAAGTTGTTGAATTTCAGAAGGAATTTCTTTGATAGGATTATTTCTCAATTTCAGTATTTGTAAATATTTAAGACACAATATCTAGGGAACAGAAAAGAGAAACAAATGTGAGTGGAATAATAAAGTATGCAAATAATTGTTACCTTTTATAAATTCTCTGAGCTAATGTAGTAGAATCATTATAGTAACGTTAATTGGCTATATCATGTAACTCAGTAAACACCCTTGGTCAACCTTCAATATAAGTGACCAGCTTTAATATGTATCATATGGTGAAATAGTGCAACTACTGTACTCATACACTTTGACTCAAGAATGGTTCTTTTCTAAATGTGAAAGTCACCCTTTCTGACCAAGCTCATGATTTCATAGGAGGGAATCACAGAATAATAAGGGAGGAAGGAGATATCTGCAGAACCAGGAAGACAGGTGGAATTAACCTTAGTGATCAGAGAAGTGTCAGATATCATAGCCAGATTATTTCTGGTATCACATTAATTTCATGTACACTGATTTTTCATGTGAAATTTAAAAACAGAACATACCATTGAAATCTATTATTTTCCTGTTAAATTTATACAAATTTTGAAAAGAAAAATAAATAAATCTATGATCTTTACTTGATTCATATATTTCTCTGTGAATATTAATAAGGTCTATTAATTCTCTTTTAAGTTCAAACTTGTTATCATCATAAAGGTCCAAAATTGGTGAAGTAGAACAAGTTCATTCTTGTAGACTGGAAGCATCAGTCCTCCAAGTTTGCCTTTCTTTTCAAAATTATTTTGGCTCTTTGGAATCCTTTGCATTTCTATATAAATTTTAGGGTCATGGAGCTGTTCATATTTTCTAAAGTCCCTTCTTGTGTCTTTGTAGGAATGTGTTCATTTCCCGTAAGTTATTTAATTGGTTGGTATACAGTTATTTATACTATTTCCTTTAAATCTTTTTAATTTCTATAAGGTCAGTAGTGATGTTTCTTTTTTTTGTCCTTGTCTTTAGTAATATAAGTCTCCTGTGTTTTTTTTCTTGGTCAGTCTACATAACATTTGTCCATTTTGTTGATTTTTAATAGTAATAACTTCTGTTTTTTAAATTTTCTGTTTTTCTGTCTTCTATTTCACTAATTTCTGTACTGATATTCACTATCTCCTTGCTTATTCTTTGTTTAGGTTTAGTTTGCTCTTTTTTTTTTCTAGTGGCTTAACATGAAAAGTTAGTTTGAGAGATTTCTTCTTTTTTAAAAAATACAGGCATTTACAGCTATAAATTTCCCTCTGAGTACTCTGTAATGCATCTCAGAAATTGTGGCATATTGTTTTTTCATTTATCTACATATATTTTCTAAGTTCATTTTAACTTATTATTTGATCCACTGGTTATTTAGGTGTATGTTGCTTAATTTCCATATATTTGTGAATTTCCAAGTTTCTTTCAGTTTTTGCTTTATAATTTAATTCCATTGTAGCCAAAAATAGACTTTTGTGATTTTCAATCATTTTAAATATATTGAGACTTATTTTGTAGTCTAACATATGATTTATCTTGAAAAATGTTATATAAACTTGAGAATTGCATATTCTGCTGCTGTTGGTTTGAGTTAGACCAAAAAAATTCCACACAGGTTTATTAGCTCTAATTGGTTTATAGTGTTGTTCAATTCTTCTGTTTCCCTCTTGTTCTTCTGCCTAATTTTTCTATGCATTATTGAAAGTGGGATGTTCAAGTGTCCAATTATTATGGTTGAATTTTCTATTTTTTCCTCCAATTCTTTCAGTTTTTGCTTCATATACTTTGGGGCTCTGTTATTAAATAAACATTTGTTTATAATGTTCTATTACCTGATAAATTGACAAAATGTTCCTTTTTATCTCTAGTAACTTTTTTTTGCTTTGAAATATATTTTGTCTGATATTAGTATAGTCTTTTCAGCTTTCCTATTGTTGCTGTTCACATGATATATATTTTCTCATGCTTTTGGCTTCAATCTCTTCAATCTTGTGTTTCTTTCGATCTTAAGTGTGTTTCCTGGAGACAGCATATCACTGAATCTGTATAAAACCTCATATAATTTTATACCGTCTGACAATCTGTATCTTTTGATTGCATTTTTTGATATATTCACATTTAATGTTATTATTGACATGATTTTCACTTTTAGCTTTCTATATATTGTATGTTCTTTTAATTCCGCCTCTACTGCCTTCTTTTGCATGAAGTGAATATGTTCTAGTGTAACATTTTATTACTTCAATAATTTTTTTCAGCATGTTCTCTTATTTTCTTAGTGACTGTTTAGAGGATATACTTTATCAGAATTTACTTCAGATTTATATTAATTCCAGTGAGATATGAAAATGTTCTTCATACATATTCAATTCCTTCTTTTTTTCATCTATAATTTCTATATATATGCATATATGTTACATATCTAACAATACATTATTGTAATTATTACTATATATGATTTTATGACTATTAAAGAATCTTAAAGAAGACTGAGTATATATATACAGGGTTTGCTATACTAATCTTTGTTATTTAACACTTCTGCTTCTACCTTCTCCCATCCTAAACCACTTTAGTGGCTGCTGCACTCTGCCTGATTCAACCATCCTAAATTTTCCAGTAATAATTCGAATTACCCCACTTACCTCAGTCCCTAGTATTCTAAAACTAAGCCTTATTAGCTGTCCCCAAAATAGTCTTTCTAAGCCTGGAAATTACCATCCTCATTGGAATGTTTTATCTATAGCTATATAACACAGATCTGCATTTTATGACAAGTTGATTTCTGTCACTTTAATAATGAGCACTTTAATATCTTACATGTGACTATCTCTCTTGTCTTCATACATTATTTTTTAGTGACTAGTATTCTTTGGCAGATACACACGTATTATCTATATCTACTTAGAGGAAAGGTTAAATCAGTGTGAAGAACTCAGATGTCTATATTCCTTGGGAATTCTTGTCAATTTGTCCTAGTTAAATTAATAAAACTGATGTTGTGTATTAGAAAAGAAATAACTTCTCCTATTGAAAATAGAAACATTATATTACAGAGAAAGTATGGAAAATAATATTTTCAATACTACATGATTGAAATAGGAAGAAAGTACATTTGCCAAAAATGAGCTCACTAAAAGACAATACTCTGGCAATCAATTTACAAAACCACCAATTACCCAGGAATCAATGAAGCAATGACTAAAGACACTAAAAACACAATCATCTGTCCTAATTACTTGCAATGGTTCATTCACTTAAAAAGACATTAAATTAGCTCATCCCATATCTGATTATCCTTCATACATTTTATTAAGCAGAATATTATATTTTATCCTTTGGTAATTAAAACTTGTTACAACAGTGCATGATTACTTTGTTTTTAAAACTTCTGATTAGCACATAAATAAGGTTTATTTTAGATTATATTCAGAGTTAGAAGAATAAATACTTAATATACATTATACAATTATGAGAACACATTTGAGAGCCTCACTATAACATAGTCTTTGAGGATTATATCATGGGACTTTCTAAGAAAGATGTACTGTACATTTTGTACTTCTGAAAATAAGCCATCTAAAAGATGCAATCCAAAATACATTTACAGTACTTTATAGTAACTTCAAGGTATTAAAAGATGTCTATTTTTTATAAGTATTATTCACAATAAGTTATATCAGTACATAACAATGCAGATGGACTCACTTCTGTGGGAAAGTAACGAAGATCATTAAATGATAAATTAAGATATATCAACTGCGAAGCCAAAGGTGTTAAGTCTGGACAATTTAGGATAAAAAAGCCCTAAAAGAAAGTGACAAGAGATAAGACGTTAGTCATTAACAATGCACAAAATAGTTTATACAAGGGTAAAACAAAATGAGAATATAATTTGAATAAGAATGTTTTACACAATATACTAACAAGCCTATATTCATCTCGCATTCATTTTTTTCAGTCTGTCAAGAAAATAATTTCTTTGGTAAGTAAAAGATAGAAAAAAAGTAGAAACACTATGTATTAGTCTGTTCTCACACTGCTATACAGGAATACCTGACATTGGGTAATTTATAAAGAAAAGAGGTTTAATTGGCTCATGGTTCTCCAGGCTATACAGAAAGCATGGCATCGCCTGCTCGGCTTCTGGGGAGGCCTCAAAAAACTTATAATCATAGCAGAAGGTGAAGGGTGAAGCGGTCTTACATGGCCAGAGCAGGAGGAAGAGGTGGGAGGTGCCACATACTTTAAAACTAACAGATCTCATGAGAACTCACTTGCCATCAGGAGAACAGCATCAAGGGGGAAATCCATCTCCATGAGCCAATCACCTCCCACTAGGCCCCACCTGCAACACTGGAGATTATGATTTCACATGAGATTTGGTGAGGACACAAATCCAAACCATATTACACAATAAGCATTTATATATGTGATGTGTAGTATGTGTGACAGAATTATTTCAATCAATAACAAGCAAATATTGAGTGCCTGCTATGTGCTGAAATATAATTGAATCTATTTTATATTTAATTATCTTCTTTACCCCCCTTTTATATCTCTACCTCTATTTCTCTGTGTTCTGTCTACTAATCTAGCATCTACCTGAAACTTCTTGTTAAATATGCCAGTTTCTGTACTTTCTTCATTGTCATTCAATTCAAAATATTCTGATTTCCTTTGTGTTTTCTTTCTTGACCTATTTTTTAATTAGTGTGCTGTTTGACTTCCAAACACTTAGTGCTTTTTAATATTTAAATTAACATTTAGCACAAATATTTGGTACTTTTCTAGATACCTTACTGTGACTGATTCTATTTTATTTTTTTTGTGTGGTATGAGAGCTACAATATTTCAATCTTTTAAAATGTCCTGAGACATATTTTATGGCCCAACATATATTCTGTCTTGAAATTGTTCTATGTGTACCTAAAAAGTAATGTTTATTCTGCAGTTGGTGGATGTATCATTCTATAAATGTTAATTAGGTCAAGTTAGTTGCTGGAGTTATTTCAGATCTTCTATATCTTTATTGAATTGTTTTCGACTACACATATCAACTCTTGACCAAGATATGTTAAAGTCTAATTTCCAATTATGATAGTGAATTGATCTACTTCTTACTTTAGTTCTGTCAAATTTTGCTTTATGAATTTTGAGGCATTCTAATGATATGTATACATATTTAGATTGTTCTGTCTTCTTGATGAGTTGACTCTTTAAACATTTTCAAACTTCTCTTTATACTTGGTAATACTCTTTTTCTATAGTATTATTTTCTACTTAGTCAGCTAATAGAGCCATAAGAGCTTTATAATGCCTACTGTTATCTTTTTCCAGTTTTACTTTTCGATCATCAGCATATTTATGTAAGTATGCTTCTTGTAAATAGCAAATAATTAAGACATACTTCATTAGCCAGTTTAACAATCTCTATTTTTTATTGTGGTATTTAATCCATTTACATTTAACAAAATTATTAATGTGTTTGGGCTAAAGTTTACCATTTTGGTAAACTTCTTTGGCCAGGTGTGGTGGCTAATGCCTATAATCTCAGCACTTTGGGAGGCTAAAGCAGGCAGATCATGAGGCTAAGAGATGGAGACTATCCTGGCCAACAAGGTGAAACCCCATCTCCACTAAAAAAAGAAAAAAATACAAAAATTAGCTGGGCGTGGTGGCACAGGTCTGTAGTCCCAGCTGAAGCAGCAGAATCAATTGAACCTGGGAGGTGGAGGTTGCAGTGAGCCAAGATGGCACCACTGCACTCCAGCCTGGCAATTGAGCAAGACTCTGTCTAAAATAAAAATGTGACTTCTTTAAAGATCACAATATGTGCCTTAACACAACCACCCTTCAATTGATTTGAAAAGAGTGTCCTCGTGCACACGAATGTTCATTGCAGCACTGTTTACAATAGCAAAGACCTGGAACCAACCCAAATGCCCATCGACGATAGACTTGATAGGGAAAATGTGGCACATATACACTATGGAATATTATGCAGCCATCAAAAACGATGAGTTTGGGTCCTTTGTAGGGACATGGATGAACCTGGAAACCATCATTCTCAGCAAACTGACAGAAGAGCAGAAGGTCAAATACTGCATGTTCTCACTCATAGGCGGGTGTTGAACAATGAGAACTCATGGACACAGGGAGGGGAGTACTACACACTGGGGTCAGTTGGGGGGAAATAGGGGAGGGACGGTGGGGGGTGGGGAGCTGGGGAGAGATAGCAAGGGGAGAAATGCCAGATGTAGGTGATGGGGAGGAAGGCAGCAAATCACACTGCCACGTGTGTACCTATGCAACAATTTTGCATGTTCTTCACATGTACCCTAAAACCTAAAATGCAATAAAATAAATAAATGGGAAAAAAAAAAAAGAAAAGAGTGTCCTTTCCCTGCTTTATGTTTTTGTTTGCTTTGTCAAACAGCAGTTGGCTGCAGGTATTTGGCTTTATTTCTGGGCTCTCTATTCTGTTCTATTGGCCTATGTTCCTATTTTGATACCAGTACCATGCTGTTTTGGTGACTATGGCCTTGTGTTATCGTTTGAAGTCCAGTAATGTGATATGTCCAGATTTGTTCTTTTTGCTTAGTCTTACTTTGGCTATGTGAGGTCTTTTTTGGTTCCATATGAATTTTTGGATTTTTTTTTTCTAGTTCTGTGTGAATAATGATTGTGGTATTTTGATGGGAATTGCACTGAATTTGTAGATTGTTTTTGGCAGCATTGTCATTTTCACAATAGTTGTTGTGTCTCTGCCAGGTGTTGATATCAGGATGATGCTGACATCACTGAATGAGTTAGAGAGGAGTCCCTCCTCCTCAATGTAGTTGGAATAGTTTCACCAGAAAGGGTACAAGCTCTTCTTTGTACATCTGGTAGAATTCAGCTGTGAATCCATGTGGTACTGGGCTTTTTTTGGTTGGCTATTTATTGCTGATCAGTTTTGGAGCTCATTATTGGTCTGTTAAGGGAATCAATTTCTTCCTGGTTCAGTCTTGGGAGGATGTATGTGTCTGGGAATTTACCTATCTCTTCTAGGTTTTCTAGTTTGTGTGCATAAAGGTGTTTGTAGTAATTTCTGATAGTTATTTCTATTATTGTGGGGTCATGTGTAACTTCCCCTTTGCCATTTCTAATTGTGTTTATTTGGATCTTCTCTTTTTCCTTTATTAGTATAGCTAGTGGCCTACATTTTTTTTAAAAAAACCAACTCCTGGATTCACTGATCTTTTGAATTAATTTTTGTGTGTCAATTTCCTTTAATTCAGCTCTGATTTTGTTCATTTCTTATCTTCTTCTAGCTTTGGGGTTGGTTTGCTTTTGCTTCTCTAATTCTTTCAGTTTTGATGATAGGTTACTAATTTAACATCTTTCTAAATTTTTGATGAGGGCATTTAGTGCTATGAAGTTCCCTCTTAACACTGCCTTAGCTGTGTACTAGAGATTCTAATATGTTGTATTTTTATTCTCATTAATATAAAAGAACTTCTTTTCTGATTTAATTTCAGATTTACCCAAAAGTCATTCAGGAGCATGTCATTCGATTTTCATGTAATTGCATGGTTTGAGTGATTTTAAGTCTTAACTTCTATTTTTACTGTGCTATGGTCCAAAATTGTATTTGGTATAATTTTGGTTATTGACATGGTTTGGCTGTCTCCCTACCGAAATCTCACCTTGAATTGTATCTTCCATAATCCCCATGTATCATGGGAGGGGTCTAGTGAGAGGTAAATGAATCATAGGGGTGAATTTTTCCCATGCTGTTCTCGTGCAAGTGAATAAGTCACATGAGAGCTGATGGTTTTATAAAGGGCAGTTCCCCTGCACATGCTCTCTTGCCTGCTGTTATGTAAGATGTGTCTTTGCTTCTTCTTTGCTTTCAACCATGATTGTGAGGCCTCTCTAGCCATGTGGAACTGTTAGTCCATTAACCCTCTTTTTCTTTATAAATTACTCAGTCTTGGGTATTTCTTCATAGCAGTATGACAATGTACTAATATAGTAATTTTGCATTTGCTGAGGGTTGTTTTGTGTCCAATTACATGGCTCATTTCAGGGTATGTGTCATATGGCATTGAGAAGAATTCTGTTGTTTTGGGGGTAGAGAATTCTGTAAACATCTATCAGATTCATTTTTGTCCAATGTCAAATATCTTCGTTAATTTTCTGCCTTGATAATCTGTCTAATTCTGTCAGTGGAGTGCTGATGTCTCCCACTATCACTGTGAGGGAGTCTCAGTCTCTGGGTAGATATCTAATAATTTGCTTTATGAATCTGGGGGCTCCTGTGTTGGCTACATATATATTTAGGATAGTTACATCTTCTTGTTGAACTGAGCCCTTTAACATTTATGTAATGCCCTTGTTTGTCTTTTTTGATCTTTGTTGGTTTAAAATCTGTTTTCTCTGAAATTAGGGTTGCCTGAAATTAGGTCCATCTAGTCCTGGATTTTACTTTGTCTGGAAGTTTTTGGTTAATCTGATTTAATCTCATTACTTATTAAAGGTCTGTTCAGATTTTTATTTGTTCTTGAGTCAGTTTTGGTAATTTGTGTTTTTCTAGAAATGTTTCCAGTTAAACTAGGTTATATAATTCATTGGCATACAATTATTTATAGTATTTTCTTACAATACCCTTTATTTTTGTAAGGCCAGTTGTAATATCTCAATTTTCATGACTAATTTTAGTTACTTGTATATTATCTCTTTTTACTTAGTCTAGCTAACGATTTATTTTGTTAATCTTTACAAATAACCTACCTTTGTTTTCATTGATTTTCTCTACTGTT